AGGGCTCCATACAGGCGTGGCTTTAGAAGGAGCCTTTGGAAAAGCAACTAAAACTAGCGTGCCCCTCCTTCCCCACCGACACGTGCCTCAGGATGCTGAGAGCCTCCGCCTCTGGAGGACTGAGCTATTTCAGGAAACTGAAAAGCCAGTGGAACACGCATTGCCAAAGGACAGGAAGTCACCTCTGAGCTGTTGTGACTCTTCTATGAGAAGCAGAACGTGTACCGCCGTGGTCCATGATCAGAAAGCAATGTCAGGTTTCAACTGGAACGACACAGAGGTATCCACGTATTTCATGAACAGCACAGGCGCCCCTTTCTCTCCACGTTCTGTATCCGTTGTCATGGGTGTGGTAATGTTTACAGTTCCAGGGCAGCCGCTGGGCACCTGACCACGTGCTGTATTGCCTGGCGTCCTGGCTGCATCCAACTCCACAGTTCAGAACAAGAATCAGCTGGAAAGTCTGTTGGAAATACAAACTCAGGGCTCCCACCTTTCTCCAGTTTTTTATTTAGCGGATCTGGGCTGTCAGTAAAGTTCAAAAATGTTTTTCTTATGTTTGTAAGTCCCAAGACTTCTGAGAGCTTCGTTCTTGACCACACGGGAGAGCTGACATCCTGAGCCACCAGCCAGCCTGAAATCCCTCCCTCCAGGCAGCTCCAAGGGAGGAGAGGCAGGAGTGAGCTGAACTTGAAGGAGGACGAGTTCCCCCCAAAACAAGTGAGATGACTCCAGCCAGATCTTAATGAAAGGCCACAGGCCAAGTGTGGGTGAGCCAGAGAACCACAGAGGTGTGCACATCACGTGGTGGCACCTGCATGCCCGGTGTGCAAAGACAGCCTCAGGGAGGACACTTCCCATGGGGAGGAGCCCGGAAGGAGGCAGCTGCCACCATAGAAGGGCACAAAGCAAGCCCCACCCCACCTTCCACCTTAAGGGACAGAAGCCATGGGGGAGAGAAGCACCTTGAGGACCCACTGCAGCTGGGGAGAGGTCGCTTAAGGACGTGGTAGGACAATGTCCCAGGCCAGTACAGACCCTGTATTGCTGGGGCAGGTGCAGGCTCTGTCCTGCAAAAGACCCGCCAAAGACACAAGGCACAGGGAGGAAGGGGCGGGGTCTCTGGGAGAGCTCTGGCTCCAAGACCCAGGATGGACCAGGACAACAGGAAGCTCCTCTGTACCCCCTCTACTGGGGGTGGGCAAGACTGTCCAAAATAATACAAACATCAAACCCAGAAAGTCAGATCCCAGAAAGTCGGAGAAAACAGCAGGATAAATACTGCAAAAACTCCCAGTTACGAATGTGTGGTCTGAGTCTGTGGATGTGCCTGTGGCCCTGACTCTGGAACTCACTGCAGCCTCATTTGCAAGGCTGTAAGAATGGGCTTCAGGGAGCCCTGTTCAAACACTGCAACCCTCCCACCCACAGCTGGTCCAGGGGTCGGTATTTGACCCAGCTGGAACGGGGAGGGAAGAGGAGGGAGAGGCCGAGGATGCAGTAAGACTCAATGCTTTCTCTAAGTGCTGGCAGGCATGCTATTCCACACGCGGACTGCATTACCAGATGAAGCTAGTCTCAGAGGAAGAGGAGAGCGAGCAGAGGTGGAGACAGTCACGAAGACTTTCAAATTCCTGGTTCCATTCTGTTCCTGAGACTCAACTGCAGTCCCCTGTACACATGTCATGAGACACCAATATATGCTATTTTTATTTTTTAAATAAATACCTCTCCTTTTTAATCCCCATTTGCTTAAAGCACATCAATTTCTGGAGTCCTTGGCTAATAGGATTCAATTTCTTCTCATAACAGAAGACACTGTTTCCATTTTACAGAGGAAGAAACGGAATCTATGCTTCAAAAGATGCCAGCAGCCGGCACCTCTGCATTGGGCTTGAAGACCCCGAATGTGGGTGGATGAACATGTTTGGGGTAAGCCTAGGACCATTTCTAAGGGAAGTTTTGGGAAAGACCTCCTGGATCCCCTCTACTCGAGGGATAAATCTAAACAAGACTAAGGGCTCTGAAACACCCCTAAAACTATGCTGCCTAACAACTACCCAGTGAGAGTGCTTCCCCGTGCACAGCCAATGGCAAACACCAATTGTTCCAGTTCCTATCAGAACATTTATCCAAGCTTTTCTCCTTACCAATAATTCACCTCTAGTGGCCGGGTGCGGTGGCTCACGCCTGTAATCCTGCACTCTGGAAGGCCAAGGTGGGTGGATCACCTGAGGTCATGAGTTCAAGACCACCCTGGCCGACATGGCGAAACCCTGTCTCTACCAAAAATACAAAAAAATTAGCCAGGTGTGGTGGTGGGCGTCTGTAATCTCAGCTACTCAGGAGGCTGAGGCAGGAGAATCACTTGAACCTGGGAGGCGGAGGGTGCAGTGAGCCGAGCTTGCATCATTACACTCCAGGCTCCGCGACAAGAGTGAAACTCCGTCTCAAAAAAAAAAAAAAATCGCCTCCAGTGTCAGGACTAAACCTACATGTAGGAGAAATATTTAATTTCTTAAAATCTGAAGGTTACTATGTGTTAGGTATTGTACTAAGCAGCTTACATTCATTGACATTTAATTTTCAGATTTAATTGTGTGAAGTAGGTATTACTGTCATCTCCATGTTACAGATGTGAAAACTGAGGCTTAGAGAAATAAGCTGTTCGAAGGCTACAGTAAGAGGAAGAACTAAGAGCGGAAAACCAGGTTGTCCAACACACGTCTGTCACTCAACCATGGCACTGTGCTGCCTTCTTCACCTACACTCCAACTTCGTCCCTTCAGCAATGTTTAGGGTTTTTTTCCTTCAACAAGTTCTACATTATATAAAACTAAGCAAGCCAACAAGTAGAAAAATGTATAAAGGTTTCGTAAGGGTTTCTAAATCATCCAAACAGTAAAAAGAAATTTAAAAAACCACAAAATAAAAACCCTTCTGGAAATATCTTTCACCAGGATGAGGAGGAATTTCTTGGCAGCCAGCAGAAAACCCTGTTCTCATATTTTCCAGTAAAAGAAACTGAAAAATTTCCTTTTCACTGAAGCACACGTTTGACGACTTCATTCACCATATAAGGAAGTGAGTGATTCTGCACTTTTCAGCCCTGTCCTTCTTTTCTGAGCACTAAATTTCATTTGGAAGTTAATACGTTATTTTAAAAGTAAAGTCATCTATGGAAGATCCAAACTAAGTAAGAGCACTATTAAATTTTGAAGAAGATTTAAAGATTTGGATTTTGTTACATTCTGCCACTTTTTAAAAAGGTCTTTCTCTAAATTATCAAAAATGTCCCTGGCTACAGATGGGTAAGTTAAAAATACTTAGCAGTTAAGATTACTGAGGTTTTTTTGGTCACTGATGAAGCTGGTTTCTTAAACATACTGGACCTTTAATAACTGGTACGTGAAAAAAAACAAACAAACATGAATTTTAAATCTTATGAATCTCTTAACTTCCTGAATAGTAAAATGTAATTTTAACAGTAAAATTTGACAGAGAGGACCTAGGAGTTTTTGGTTGTTCCCATGTTTCATGTACTTAAAATCGATTCAAAATAAGCCCATTTATTTCAGTAATAAGAAAATCAGAACGATTATTTTATTCATAACAGAAAGTGATGACACTTAATTCTTTTGTTTTTATACAGAAAAAGTACAACCTGTAGTAAACTAGTTTTTGACAGGTGTAGATAAACCCATATTTTAAAAGCCAAATAACAATTTTTAGTAAGTTATTTGAATCAAATTATATGAATTAACATTCCTACTTTAAATTACATATGATGTCGAAGGTACCTACATGCAGGACTCATCAATGACACATCTTGCATCATTCATTTACCAAACTCTAAGGAGACAGTTATGATCCTTGCTTTCAAAGAGCTAACAATAACTGTGCAGAAATTGCTGAAAGTAAGTGAAACAAAAGGGGCGAAGAGAGCCTTCTGTGGCAAAGGAAAAGGCACAGAGAGGTAGTAGTGAGGTGTGGGTTGGTACAGACAACCATATGGGCAGTGTGCACCTGGAGAAGGTGACCCAGACCACAATGAACACAGAGGGCAGCAAAGGGAGACGCTGGCCAGAGGCTACAGGAGCCCAGTGAAGGAGGAAGGAGTCTGTTTGGCAGGAGTAACAGTTCTGTTGTCTTGGTTTTGTGGGAAATAACAAATAGTATTTATTAACAAATAATAAATAGCATTAAAATAGTATTAACTTAAAAAAAAAAAAAAAACACAGTATACGTTCAGCGTCCCTAATCTAAAAATCCAAAATGCTTCAATATCAGAAACTTTTTGAGTACTAGCATCATGCTCAAAGGAAATACTCACTGGAATCTAACGCAAATACTACAAAACCTGAAACACATCTGGTCCTAAACATCTCCAATAATATTCAACCTGTATATGAAACTGTATGTACAGTTCATTAAACACACCCCAAATGAGGAAGGAGGTGCATGCAAGGGACGGTAGCCCTTATCTCTGGAGGGGAGAAAAGGGAGGTTTACAGGTTAGTCTTCTCAACAAAGTGTTCAGGAACATGAGCACTGTATCAGACTAAACTGGATCTGTATCCAGCCTCTTATTAGTTGTGTGACTTGGAAAAATAAGACTTTCACAATCTCAGTTTCTGAACAGTAAAAGAAAACAACGTTAATATTTAGCTATAGAGTTATGAGGATTAAATGAGCAAATATCTATAAATCATATTCATTGAGGTGGTGAATAAAATGTCAGCTAAGACCTACACTTCTGAAGAAGTCCACGTTTTCAAATTTTTGTAACATTTTTATAATCAGGAAAGAGAGCTGTTTATCAGGAGATAAGCTCTCAGTTAAGGCACAAAGAAATACAAAAAACTCCCACAAGATTCATGCAACAGAAAGGGACAGCAGCGAGTTGATAAAATTTTGTTTCTCCACTTTATACATTCTTCTACGGGTATGTATTTTCGTCACCGAATGGGAAAATAAAAATGAAATAAATATTGACTTACTGGTTTCCTAAGGAAGAAGACAGACAAAGCTCCAACTAAGGGCATGTCTCCGATCAACGGCTCCAGCATCACCCGCATGGTGCCATGAATCTAAACTCAAACAGGAAAAACCAAAACATGTAACAGAAGACAATTCTCCTGGGCCACTTAAGGAGTTTGCTTGCGTATCTTAGTAACTTTTGAGCACTTGACTTCTTATTTCTCTCAACTATGACCTACAGTTAAAAACTGAACGTCAAAACAATTCCAAGCTAGAAAAACTTCCTAATTTTCTTTCTGAATACAGCTTAGAGAACTTTAGAAAACTGTAAAATTAAAACAAAAACCAAAAAACTTACCTGGATACTTTTCACACCAGCTCTACAAAAATATCGTTTGATCTCCAAATCAATCTCACAATTTCCTACAAAACTAACAAAGAAAAAATTCTGCATTACATAATGTGAGTGAAATGAACTACTCTCTTCATCACTATAGGCCTGCAAGATGTATAATCTGAATAAAATGATAGTAAAGCAAGCAAATAGATTGTAGGTAAAAATAGTAAAATACGGCCCATCAGATTACAGTATTTTACCGCTCCAGGTCTTCAGGCTGTTATCAGATCCAATACTGCTCTGACCTTGGGAGGAATACTCCCAATCAATCAATCAATCAATCAATGGTTGTGGTTGTTGTTGGTCTTACATATAAAAATCTTAACTAAATAGAAATGTCGATGTTCAAAAGAAGATGTAAATAACAAACTGCAACTTCTGAAGCAGACTTTTGATGCAATGTAGTTTTCTTTACCTTATAAATCTGATGTTTAAAACATTAAAAAGTTTAATTTTATTTCACACAAATAAATTTCACATCTTGCTTCCCAATCATGAAAAATCTCTTAGTGCCCTAGGCCTCTATGACACCAAAGACTAGAAACAGTGCATCTGTTTGGGGCCTCAATTTTGCTCAATAAGTAAGTCATTTCAGATATTAATATGAAACAAACATAACGCTATAAGGCAAGATATGCATCTATTCTTAATATAAACATGAAATGTCAAACACTTTTTGCGTGGGTTAGTGTAGGACCTGCCCCGACCCTCGGCTCCTGGAGGCAGGATGTCACACTCCGACCTGACAATGTCTGTGGGGAAGTTTGATAAATGCTAGAAAGGGAATGTCTAAGCAGATAAGCAAAATAGTAACGAAAGGAATCTGGAATAAGTTTCTTCCAGTATTTATTGTCCTGGTGTTAACGCCAAGGCCTACAGATTCTTCTCATTGAGAGCTACTCTCTACCTAGTTGGTAAAATCACCAATAACCTGTTACAAAACTATAAAAAAACTTTCCTTTTCTTCATTCTATGACTTGATCATTTTCTTTTCTTTTTTTTTTTTTGAGATGGAGTCTTGCTTTGCTGGCCAGGCTGGAGGGCAGTGGTGCGATGGTGACTCATTGCAACAGCCGCTATCTGGTTCAGGCCATTCTCCTGCTTCAGCCTCCCAAATACCTGGGATTACAGGTGTGCGCCACCATACCCAGCTCATTTTTGTACTTTTAGTAGAGATGGGGTTCCACCATGTTGGCCAGGCTGGTCTCGAATTCCCAACCTCAAGGGGTCCACCCGCCTCCGCCTCCCAAACTGCTGGAATTAACAGGCATGAGCCACTGCACCTGGCCTTGATCATTTTATTTTCTAATACTTTTCAATTATTCCTTCCCCATCTCTACTGCCTGCCAATTTAGTTAAAGTGTTTGTCTGGAACTCACTACAAAGCAGAATGCGTATTTGTTCAGAGACATAAATCTGAGCAGGACACTTGGCACACGTTATGGGAGCTAACCATGAAACCAGACTGCACCTTCAGAATGGCGTCCACTGACTGACGGACTCAAACTTGCTCGGTGCTGGGGACACTGGACAAGCGCACAAGGCTCCGACCCTCATGAAGCCTGGTACCCGCCCAGTGGGCCACCCTCCTGGAGGTGGACCGTCCTCCTGGGGCACAGCCTGACCCGAGACATACGTGGGTGTCCTCTTTTATTCCACTGATGACAATGGTGTTTGCCCTAGCACCAAATATTTTAAAGAGGCAGATTTTTCCATATTAGATTAAAGAAAGTCTATGCTTCTTTCTGAAATAAGGTAACTTGGTACCAACTTTCTGAAATAAAGGTAACTTGGTACCAACATTCATTATATTTAAATACTTTGGAAACTCAATGATCACTTTAATAAAATGATCTTTAGTAAAGGATCAAAAAAAGCACACAACTCTGAGCTGCTAGACACCACGTGTTGTTCTGAGTGCACAGTACTCACTGGGCACCACACACATTGTGTTGTGAGGCCCCACGTGGAGCAGGAAGCCCTGAACAAGCTCAAGGAAGAACGAGCATGAAAGACAAGAGAAGCCCACTTTTGAACCACAGCCCGGGGGACACAGCGAGACCCTATGGGGGGTGTGGGGGGAAGGAAGTCCATTTTTACTATGCTATGCATGGTAGCTGGCAGCTCTTCAATTTCTTTTTTTTTCCCAATGTAAAACACTGTATTAAAATACACAAAAATTTGGCTGGGCATGGTGGCTCACATCTGTAATCCTAGCACTTTCGGAGGCTGAGGCAGGTGGACCACTTGAGGTCAGGAGTTTTAGACCAGCCTGGCCAACAAGGTGGAAACCTTGTCTCTGCTAAAAATATAAAAATTAGTCAGGCATGGTGGCATGTGCCTATAATCCCAGCTACTCGGGAGGCTGAGGCAGGAGAATTGCTTGAATCCAGGAGGCGGAGGTTGCAGTGAGCTAAGATCGCACCATTGCACTCCAACCTGGACGACAGAGACTCCGTCTCAAAATAAATAAATTAATACCCAAAAAATCTACCCTTATAATCATTTTTAAGTGTACAACTCGGTGGTACTAAACACGTCCGTAACGTGCAACCATCACCACCAGCCATCTCCAGAACATTTTTCAACTTGCAAAATGAACACCCTTCCCCCATTAAACACTAACTCCCCGTTCCTGCTGCCCCCAGGCCCTGGCAACCACCATTCTGCTTCTGTGTCTGAGTTTGACTCCCCCGGGCACCTCACACAAGTGGAATTATGCAGACGCTGTCCCTTTGTGTCTGGCTTGTTTCCTTCAGCATAAGGTCCTCAAGGTCCAGCATGTGGCAGCCGGAGCAGGAGTCCCATGTTTTTAAGGCATACAGGCATATAGGCCACATTCTGCTTATCCATTCATTGGCCCACACAGACTTGGGCGGCTTCCACCTTGTAGCTATTGTAAAAAATGCTGCTAAGAATGTGGGTGTGCAAATATCTGCTCAAGTCCTGGCTTTCAATTCTTTCAGGTATGCACGCAGAAGTGGGATTTCTGGATCACATGGTAATTTTACATTTAAGGTTTTGAGGAACTGTTTCCACAGCAGCTATACCATTTCACATTTCTACCAACAGCGCACAAAGGTTCCAATTTCTCCACATCTCACCAACACTTGTTATTCTCTGGGTTTCTTTTGATAGTAGCCTTTCTAACAGGTGTTAGGTGGTATTTTATTACGGTCTAGATTTGCATTTTCCTGATGGTTAATGATGCAGTATCTTTTCACATGCTTATTAGCCATTTGTATATCTTCCCTGGAGAAATGTCTATTCAAGTTCTTTCCACATTTTTGAATAGGGCTGTTTGGTTGTTCTGTTGTTGAATTTCAGGAGTTCTCCATATATCCTGGATGATGACTGCTTATTGGATTCATGATTATAGGGATTGCATTAAATCTGGGATTGTTTTAGGTAGTAGTAACATCTTAACTATATTAGGTTTTCTAATACATTAATTAAGATAGAATGTTTTTCTATTTGTACCTTCTTTGATTTCTTTCAGCAATATTTTAGTTTTCAGTGTACAAGTCTTTCTCCTCCTTAGTTTATTCCTAAGTATTTTATTCTTTTTGATTCTATTATAAATGAAATTGCTTCCTTCATTTTCTTTTGGGATTGTTCATTGCTAGTGTATAAAAATGCAATTGATTTTAGTGTGTTCACTTTATATCCTGCTACTGTGCTGAATTTATTTCTTAGTTCCAAGAGTTCTTTTTTTTTTTTGGTGGGATCTTTAGGGTTTTCTACGTATGAGATCATCTCAACTGTAAACAGAAATTAATTCCTTCCAGTGGGTGCAGTCACTCATGCCTGTGATCCCAGAACTTTGGGAGGCCAAGGTGAGTAGATCGCTTGAGCTCAGGAGTTAGAGACTAGCCTGGGAAACATGGTGAAACCTCATCTCTACAAAAAAAATACATAAATTAGCCACACATGGTGGCATGAACCTGCAGTCCCAGCTACACGGGACACTGAGGTGGGAGGACTGCTTGATTCTGGGAGGTCAAAGCTGCAGTGAGCCAAGACTGCGCCACTGCACTCCAGCCTGAGTAATAAGGTAAGAACCTGTCTCAAAACAAAAACAAAAACAAAACCAACAAACCAAACAAATATATATATATACACACACACATATATAAAATGTCTGTCTTCCTTTCCAGCCTGGGTGCCCTTTATTTCTTTCTCTTGCCTAACTGCTCCAACTAGAACTCCCAATACTGTGTTGAAGAGAAGTAGTGAAAGAGGGCATCCTTGCAGTTGTTCCTGATTTTAAACAAAAAGCTTTCAGTTTTTGACCACTGAGTAAAACTTTTTTTTTTTTTTTTTTTTGAGACGGAGTCTCGCTCTGTCGCCCAGGCTGGAGTGCAGTGGCGCGATCTCGGCTTACTGCAAGCTCCGCCTCCCAGGTTCACGCCATTCTCCTGCCTCAGCCTCCAGAGTAGCTGGGACTACAGGTGCCCACCACCACGCCTGGCTTATTTTTTGTATT